GGCAAACTGTGACCCACAGGCCAAACCCAGTCTGCCACCCGTTTTTGTGAATAAGATTTTACTAGAACACAGATATGCTAATTTGTTTACATTCATCTATGGCTGCTTTTGTGCTGCAATAGCTCAGCTGAATAGTGGTGATGGAATCCATATCACCTGAAAAGTCTAAAATATGTATTATCTTTTTACAGAAAAAGTTGCTGACCCCTGCCATAGATTAAAAGTTAAAAGTCAGCAGAAAATATGCGCAAATAATTTTTCTTTTTTTTTTTTTTAAAGATTTTTATTTATTTGACAGAGACACAGCGAGAGAGGGAACACAAGCAGGGGGGAGTGGGAGAGGGAGAAGCAGGCTTCCCGCGGAGCAGGGAGCCGGATATGGGGCTCGATCCCAGGACCCTGGGATCATGACCTGAGCCGAAGGCAGACGCTCAACGACTGAGCCAGCCAGGCGCCCTTTTCTCGTACTCATAAAGCTCTGAGTAAAATATATGGTCAGTTCAGTATGATTGCCTTGCAAGTTTTGGCCAGTTTTTCAGAGACTATTTTGAAATGTACTTTTTAAGTTGATTTTGGACACCATCAACAATGAAATTGTCCAATTTGAGAGACTTTACAAGGTTTCTATGTAATTTGGCCTAAGTGGGTGTCTATCACTATGATGGACAAGGATATAAGGAATGCAGTATTTTTACTTTGAATCAGGATAAAGTAACTGCATTAGACTTGCCTTTCTGCCACAGAAGAGTATAAAACTAGACAAACTACTTAGAGCAACTATTTTCAGGCATCAATAAATAAGCAGCACATGATTGTCATACTTGAGAACAAAACACACAAGGTAAACTCCATAATTAGGGAGGTGAAACTCAAGTAAAGTAGTGGCCTTTCTGAGATGAGGATAGTGTTATCAGAGGTCAAAGTTACTGAAGTGGCTGGAATTTTGCGGGTTAGAATACCTGAGCTATAGTGTGTGTGTGTGTGTGTGTGCGCGCGCATGCGTGCATGCATGTGCATGTGTTCGGGTGGAGGGACACAAGTATGCCAGGCAAGTTTGCCTGCTGCAGGAGGAAGGCTGAAGAGTGATACTAAAAATCATGCCGTGCTAAGAGACATTGGATTTCCAGCCAGCCCAAGAACAGCAACTTCGCTAATACTTTGGGCACTTAATTGAGAATCCAGAATCAAGCCCTAAGAGAAAGAACCATGCAAAAAAGTGAGAGGCACATGCTAGGGCTGAGTATAAAACCAAAATGGACACATGCTGCTAATAATAGTCCCAAGGCTAACCTAACAAAAGGACCCACCAGTAATTAATTTGCATGATGCACAGATGTCATACCCTTTAAAGGAAGACAACATAATCCAGACTCCCTATAATGTATTACCTACAATTACCTAACATACAATTATTTATTATCAAACATACAAAGAGATAGGAAAATGTGAACCAGAAGAGAGAAGTAGTCTATAAAAAAATTTCTGTGAGATGACCCAGATTTGGGGATTAGGAAAAAAAATTAAATAACATTCATAAATATTTTCAAGGACTTAAAGGAAGACATAGTCATAATGAATGAACAGATAAGGAATGTCAGTTTAGGGGAGGATCTCTGTGATCACTGAGGAGCTGGGTGTGTGGGCAGGAAGTCCTCACTGTACGGTGGCCCAGTGCAGGGACCCGGGAGGCTCAGTGCATCTCCGCCCAACACGGAATCCCAGGAGTTCTGCACGCTCAGCCAGGGCTCCTCGGCCTATGCTCATTGCCCCGCCTGCTGCCCAGAGACAGGACTGAGGCCTGGTCGACTGTCTCCTCGCCGGAGCCATGAACCAGTCCCGTGCTGGCTCCCGCCTGAGCATCGTGCTGGGACACCTCGGCCAGCATTTGGCTGGGGCCGGCGTAACTCACCCCACTTCAGGGGCTGTTTCTCCTAACAGTTTCCATCCTCCACAATTCCAGTATACTCGGGATAATAATGTTCTAAGCCTAGAACAGAGACAATTTTATGAAGAAAATGGGTTTCTTGCCATTAAAAATTTGGTATCTGATGCTGATATTAAATGCTTTAGGAGTGAGTTTGAAAGGATCTGCCAAGGGGAGGTGAAACCACAGCAAATGATGATAATGAGAGATGTGTCCATTGCAAAATCAGAATATATGCCAAGTGAAAAGACAGTTTCAAAGGTCCAAGATTTCCAAGAAGACAAGGAACTCTTCAGATACTGCACTCTCCCTGAGATTCTGAAATATGTGGAGTGCTTCACTGGACCCAATATTATGGCCATGCATACAATGCTGATAAACAAACCTCCAATTCTGGTAAAGGGCTCTTATTTGTTATGGGGAAGGCCCCTCCCCCAAAAAAAGAGGAAAAGAAAAAAAAATTTAAGGTGTTCTAACTATACCTGTGTGTATAACTGTTAAACTTTGATAAATAAATATATGTGTCCTTTATTTTTTATTTTTTTTAAAGATTTTATTTATTTATTTGCGAGAGAGAATGAGAGACAGAGAGCACGAGAGGGAGGAGGGTCAGAGGGAGAAGCAGACCCCCCGCTGAGCAGGGAGCCCGATGCGGGACTCGATCCCGGGACTCGATCCCAGGACTCCAGGGTCATGACCTGAGCCGAAGGCAGTCGCTTAACCGACTGAGCCACCCAGGCGCCCCTATATGTGTCCTTTAAAAAAAAAAGGAATGTCAGTGTATAAGTGAAACTTTTAAAAGTTATCTGCCCCTCCCCTCTCTCACACACGCACTCCTGCTCTCTCTCTCTAAAATAAAGAAATATATCTTTTTAAAAAAGATTCATTCTTACTTTCTTTTATCTACAGTTACCTCAGGTTGTCTGAGAATGTTAAAGTAAATAAAAGATTTCTTCCCCACTTTTGTGGGAGAATAGATTTGTAGTTTTACAAAATCAGTTCTGGGTTGGTTTGAGTTAAATTATACCTTGTGAAATTCAAGAAAGGAAACCTCTTTTAGACGGAGCTGGGAGGCCAGAAAGGGGAGCTCTCAGGCCCCGCTGCAACCCTTTGCAGACCCAAAAGGAAGAGATGATCTTGCATTCCCAATAGGAAGAAACCTACTTCACTATCCCAGTAGGAAAAAGGATTTTCTCCTTGCCCAGTAAAGGCCCAGCCAATGAAAAACTGTCACAACTCAGCCAATGAAAAGCTACTACATTTCAAAGCCCGTTTACTCCAATGGACTTCTTGTTTATAACAGCTCCTCCCAACTCTCCCCTTTCCTATATAGAAGAGTGGTACTCTCCTTTGTTCTCTGGACTTGTCTATGGCTTTTGCTATAGCTCTTTTGTCCCAAATTGCAATTCCTGAATAAACACAATTGCTGGTAAAATAATAAGCTCTTTTACTTTCAAGATCAACAACCTCATAGCAAAGGAGAAATGTAGCCAGATCAAGTCTCTAGAATAGAATATGGCCCTGTTATTTCGTTTGTGCGCCTTGCTGGACCACATCATCATTCAGATCAGCCTTGCTGTAGCGCACAGGCTTGAGTGAGGCAAACGGGTTACAACACAAGGAACAGCCATAGGAACTTTTCTTTCTTTCCTTTTTTTTTTTTTTTTAAGTAATCTGTATGCCCAAGGTGGGGCTCAAACTCACCACCCTAAGATCAAGAGTTGAATGCTCTACCAGCTGAGCCAGCCAAGCACTCCCGGAGCTTTCTTGCAAGCCCATAGTTCCTGCATGGTGTTCATGAGGAAAACGCAGAATCAAGTGTTTCTGGCATTTTAAGGAATTCCTGTAGAAATTCTTACTACATCCTTTAATCAATTCTACAATACTCTGATTCTGTTCAAATGGTTCACTTTCAGTGTGGGGAAAACCCAAAGATTCCTGTGGGAGACTATGCCATTATTTGTGCAGCCTTAGGTATGAACAAAATCTCTGTAATGACTTTAAAGCTACCTCATTTTAACTTTTACTCCTTAGTCCTAGTTTTGTTCTCTGATGCAATGGAAAAATGGTCTGACCCTTCTTTAACAGATCAAACCTCCAAATTGCGGAGATACATGTTGTGTTCCCGTGAGTCTTTGCTTATTCAGAGTCATCTTCTCCAGAACTCAACTTTCCCTCATTTCATTTTTTTTTTTTTTTAGATTTTATTTATTTATTTACTTGACAGAGAGAGACACAGCGAGAGAGGCAACACAAGCAGGGGGTGCCGAAGGCAGGTGCTTAACGATTGAGCCACCCAGGCACCCCCCTCATTTCACATTCAATCATCTTACTTTTGACCCCTCTTTCATGTAAGTCCATCAATGTTCCTCATGAAAAGTGACCCCAGATGTGTCCCCAGAGCCATCTCTGCTGTGAGGGAAAAAGACATTCTTGCCCAATTTTTTTTGGTGGGGTGGGGATGTCTCCTTAAATTCAAAGCTAAAACTTTAATCAAAGAGGAAAAAGAGGGCGCCTGGGTGGCTCAGTTGGTTAAGCGACTACCATCAGCTCAGGTCATGATCCCAGGGTCCTGGGATCGAGTCCCGCATCGGGCTCCCTGCTCCTTGGGAGCCTGCTTCTCCCTCTGCCTCTCTCTCTCTGTCTCTCATGAATAAATAAATAAAATCTTAAAAAAAAAAAGAGAGAGAAAAAAGATTTCGAGGAAGCAATTAAGAGGTTAAGCAGATTTATCTTGGTCAGGACCACCAGCCACGCCTCTGAGGCTCGCCCAGTGCGCCCTTGAGCCAAGCAAAAATTTTAAGGTTTTGGTACAGTGAATTACTAGGGTAAAGTGACATTCTGCTTTTTTGACTGCTCACCTCATCCAGCCACCATCCCCTCGTCCCAGCCACCAGTTGCATTTAAAGTCTCGCATTTTCCACTACGACAGACTAAGGCGTAAAACTAGGACTAACCCAAAAGGAGGGCAGCGGCCCGCCGCCACTTCCGGGGTCGAGCGGTGGATGGCGACGCCTCCGCCGCGGAAGGAGGAGTTAGGGGCGGAGCCGCGTCTGCGTGCCGCCTGAAAGCGCAGGCGGACTTTGCGCATGCTCGTACGAAGGCGTCTCTAACTCCGCTTCCGGTGGCGCTTCGCTCGCGTTGTTCCCCAGTCGGGAGGCTGCGTTTAGGGTCGCAGAAAGATTGGGCGTTGGGCAGGTAAGTGCCGCTTCTCCTGTTCATCAGTCATTGCCAGCGTTCGAAGTAGAACTTGAAGGGCTGTGCTAGGATTCACCCATGTTCTGCTGATATTTTCTCCTGATGTTCTGAAACCTTTATTTCTGGGAAAGAGGCGGAAGGGGTGGGAAGCTATGGTGGTTACCGTGGCAACTGCATAGCACCGACTTAGTTTTTGAGAATTTGGGAAGGGAGAGCTTCTTCTATAAGGGCTCTTTAAATGGTGCGTCGGATGCAGATTTAGGTGTTAACTTCAAACCCATGCTCCTAAACCACAGCATTTGATTTTAAAAGGTGTACTCTGGCTATAACGTGGAATAGCAGAATTTGAGGCGGGTTAACTAGTTGGAAAGCTAATTCAGTGATGGAGACAGTTTGAAGGTGTCCTGAGCTAGGGTAGTGGTGTAGGACTGCGGAGAACAGGGAAAATTGGAGAAATTCCAGCAGGTAGTATCAGCAGGACCTAATGATTGACTGGATATGGGGAAAGAGGGAAAGGGCCCTGAGCATCTTGAGGATTAAGTCCACACTTACCTGGGTATATGGCTCTCTTTCTAGATTCTTCTCCCGTCGTCAGTTCTGTCTTCCGACCCCCTACTCCACGCAGACCCAAGACTCTATTCATGCCGAGTAGTTTGAGGTTCTAGTTCCTAGAATATTGTCTTCACCTTTCTTATGACGTTGCGTCAGGTTATATAATTTAATTAAGTCCCTCAGTTTTTTCAACATGAAAATGGAAGAAAATAATAGTACTTTCCTCAGGATTTTTATAAGGATTAAATGAGATAATTTATATGCTTGGTGTATAGAAAGGGACCAATATATATTTAGTATTGCTCCTATTATTGTGCTTGTATTGCTTTATTATTATGTGTCATTTTGCTGTTTCTTCCTCTAGACTTGAGTTGTGTTTTTTTTTTTTAAGGAGCATTATCTTATCTATCTTTGTATGTTATTGTAACATAGGAGTAAAGATTAAAAAATTTTTTTGAATGCATCATTTATTTTGGCTGCTGCTGACATAATTTTATTTCTTACTTTAAAGGAGCTACCTAATAGAATTGATTTTAATGATCGGATGTTATTTACTAGATAAAAAGATGGCAGTTTTTCTGTATAACTAAGAAGACTGTGAGATAAGATGTACAGAAAGTAACTGATATTCTCAGTTTGAAGCAGGTATGAGTGATTTCAGTGAAGAATTGATAAGGTCCAAGACAGAGGATGACCAGGAGGAATCATCTGTATTCTCTGGTACAGGAATGTCTTTTCCTTGGCTCCAAAAGTATATAGGGACTGTGGGTAAGTAAAATAATGACCCAGCCATTTTAACTCTGATGCAAGGAGATGATAGGATTCAGTATGGATACAGAGTGAATAACCAAGCTGATTTATTCAGTTTTCAAAATGGGACTATATGAGGGTTTTTGAGGCTGTAAGCAAAAAAATCATAAAAAGAATACATCTTTTTTGCTACTTTTCGTTTGAACTAATAACAGTCTGTATTGTGGTAGATACACTTCTTTTTTCCTCTAGCAATACTTACTAGGCACTTATATGCCTAGCATTGGCTAAATATTGGGGATACATAGGTGAAGAAAATGTGGCCATTGAGGAGTACATATGTAGGAAGTGTTTTTAAGAAGTTTCTGTTGAGGGTGCCTGGGTGGTGCAGTCAGTTAAGCGTCTGCCTTCGGCTCAGGTCATGATCCCAGGGTCCTGGGATTGAGTCCCTCACAGGGCTCCTTGCTCAGCAGGAAGCCTGCTTCTCCCTCTGCTTGCCGCTCCCCCTGTTTGTGCTCTCTCTTGCTCTCTCTCTGACAAATAAATAAATAAAATCTTAAAAAACAAAAGTTATTTATATTGAATTGCATTGAAATTATTCTTTTTTTTTTTTTAAGATTTTATTTATTTATCTGACAGAGGGAGAGAGAGAGCACAAGTAGGCAGATAGGCAGGCAGAGGGAGAGGGAGAAGCAGGCTCTCTGCTGAGCACAGAGCCCGATGCGGGGCTCAATCCCAGGATGTTGGGATCATGACCCGAGCCGAAAGCAGACGCTTAACCGACTGAGCCACCCAGGTGCCCCGCATTGAAATTATTCCTAATAGAATTGATCCGTAATAGATTTCAAAAAAAAGAGTATTTTCCCCATATACATATAAATATAAGCAAATAAATATAAGCAAGAATTTCTGTGGGATATATTTCCTGTAAGAATATATAAAAGAAGTGGTTATCTGTAAATGGGCATGTTGGATGGTGTAGTTCTGGGAATATATTAGAACTGACACTTATTGCCTTCAAATACATCTCTCTTAACCTAGCCATCTTTCCCCTTGACTGAGATTCTTTGGCTCCTAGAACTTGCTCCTATTTCTTTATCTTTTAGTCTAAATATTATCTTATTTAATCATCTCAGAAATTAATCCTCAAATCCATGTGCTGGGCGTTTTAGAGATGAGGGAAATGAATTTCAAAGAAATTAAACTCTAAGGGTTGGTATTAGGAGTTAAACCCAGGTCTGTCGGATCTCAAAGCTTATACTTCCAATAACTGAAATATATTTTTAAAAATGAGATAATCTATGTGAAGTGCCTAGCACAGAGCGTCATGCATAGCAAGTGTTGCAAAAATAAGTTTCTTTCCTCTCATTTTATTTTTGCTAACGAATGCACATGGTTTAAACATGGTTTGAATGGATGGCACTTCAGAGGGTGTGCTATTTCCCCCCATTGTAGGGAACTAGTAACTAAGGTTCCTGCTAGCTAAGACATGCTTGGGCAAGTTTCTGTCATCAGTGTTCTATAGAGAGCTTGTTCAGTCTGAAAGCAGATAGGTATAAGACCAGAATTTACATGCTTACAAATGTTTCGTAAGTTATGGGTAGCCTGTTAAACCCACAATACTTCATGTCTGCAATGAGAAAATAATTTCAGGTAATATTGACATTGTAGTAATAAATAACCATAATAGGAAAACAAAATTGCCTAGCAATTTTTTTTTTCCTAGTAGATATCTTTCAGGGTTCTGAAGGGTATACCCCCTAGAATAAAAACTTTGAAGTCAGGGGCCAATCTGGATTAAAACTGTATGTTGAGTACCTAAAATAGTACTTGGCTCAAAATAGTGCTCAAAAAATATTTGTTGAGGGTGCCTGGGTGGCTCAGTCAGTTAAGTGTCTGCCTTCGGCTCAGGTCATGATTCCAGGGTCCTGGGATCGAGCCCCACATTGGGCTCCCTGCTCAGTGGGGAGCCTGCTTCTCTCTCTGCTGCTCCCCCTGCTTGTGCTCGCTCACTCTCTCTGTCAAATAAATAAGTAAAATCTTAAAAAATATATATATTTGTTGACTGACAAGTTTCCAAATTCTTTCAAGGGCATTAGAGATGGGTTGATGGCACTGGTTCTTTATTTTACCTCATTCCATGTCAAAATTCCTTTTCCTAGGCAATTATTTTTGAAAGTGTATCAGCAACAAATAAGATGATCTTTTGCTCATTAAAGAATGAAGTGAGAGATATTCCTGAGGTAACTAGGCTAAGTTGGAAGACAGAAGGGGAATTTTACAAGGATTTAAGGACAGTAGTCTAAAGTCCAATTTCCAGTCTGAGCAGTGAAAACTTGAGATAGGTGGGAGCTTGGCCTGAGTTCAGTCCTCCTTTATGTGAATAAATGAGGTGTTAGAGAAGAGGTGTTTCGTCCGTTTTCCAGACTACCTCCCTGGTGTTGCTGCTGGTCCTGGGCAGCTTGTTGTAAATCTTGCTAAATGCAGCTTCTTATTCAGAGAGCTGGGAAGGTGGGGGGTGGGGGTAGGCATAGTATTCTGCATTCCTGATAAGATCTGCAGTGATCCTAAAGGCTTTTGTTTCCAGGACCATACTGAATAGCAAGGATCAGGATCCCCAGGTGATCTGTATGTATTTTTTAGTTTTACTTTGAGAAGACTAGTGTAGAGCAGTAGTCTTCAAACTTGTTTTGCTCACTTTCCCTTTTTTGTTGTTGTTTTTTTAATTATGTATTGCCTTACATGGTTTTAAGATGCCTTCCTAAAAATTGTATTGGAAGTTTAATAGTTGCAAAAGATATAATTCCAACAGAGGTTGGCATTTTTAAATGAAATTAGTTTATTACTTTTACAGATATATCCAGTGGAATCTAAATAGCATAGGAATGTGATATGCCTTTCATCATCCATTTAAAAATATTTATGAAAAAGATCTTAATTGATGGAGACTTTATACTGTTATTTTCCTTTCATACTTTTATCTTTGCAATAAAACTGTATCTACATTGTTTTTTTTTGTTAATATTCTGAAAGGCTTTATTAAAATTCTCTCTGGAGTGAGACATCATAATTAACAGTTTTACACAGCTGATGAAAATAACAAGTATTAAAAGTTGTGTTAAAATTTAATTAAAAGTAAATTTTTATTCTTTTTTTTTTTTTAAAGATTTTATTTATTTGAGAGAGAGAGAATGAGAGAGAGCACATGAGAGGGGGGAGGGTCAGAGGGAGAAGCAGACTCCCTGCCGAGCAGGGAGCCTGATGCGGGACTCGATCCAGGGACTCCAGGATCATGACCTGAGCCGGAGGCAGTCGCTTAACCAACTGAGCTACCCAGGCGCCTGTAAATTTTTATTCTTTAATAAAATAAATAAGGTTATCACTTTTTCAACTTATTTGATACATCTGTGAAGGAATGTTATATATTTCCAGAATGAGAAAAGATTTAGCTTCAGTTCTGTTTTGTTTTCATTGTGATGTAATTTTGAGAAACCTTAGTTATATAAGTAAGTAGATGACACCGGATAGAGTTTAATTATAGCAATGTATCAGGTTTTTGAATTCTTGAGTCACTCATGAAGAAACTGCATAGTGATCTATTATAAAGAATTATTAGGGCCTTCCACACTTTTTTTTTTAAAGATTTATTTATTGAGAGAGAGAGAGCATGTGTAAGCTGCGGTAGGGGGAAGGAGGGAGATAGAATCCCAAGCCGACTCCCCGCTGAGCGCAGAGCTGGACATGGAAGCATTTGTTTCAAGTGAAGCTAGCTTTGATATTGGGATGGGCTGGGTTAAGTAATAACTCCTGTTCCACTCCTTAAAACTTCTGCTTATCAGGGTGCCTGGGTGGCTCAGTGGGTTAAGTGGCTCAGTGGGTTAAGCAAATGCCTTTGGCCCAGGTCATGATCTTGGGGTCCAGGGATTGATCCCTGCATCGGAGCCCTGCATCCTTGGGCTCCCTGCTCAGTGGGGAGCCTGCTTCTTCCTCTCCCCCTGCCCCTCGCGCCCTGCTCCTATGCACGCTCTCTCCTCCTGCATGTTCTCTCTCTCTCTCTCTTTCTCTCTGTGAAATAAATAAATTAAATCTTTGGGGGAGAAAAAAGACTACTGGAAATAACAAGGGAAAGAACTCTAAAAAAAAAGTGCTTATCAGAAATCAGTTTTTTAAACTTGAATTGCGATCACTATGGGTAAAGATTCTTCTCTTTAATCTATAGCAACTGGAGGGAAGAAGGAGAAGGATTTTGCTCAGACAACAAATGCTTGTTTGAGTTTTATCCAAGAAGCGCTGCTGAAGCACCGATGGCAGAAGGCTGCCGAATTCATGCACAGTTACTTCCAGATCTTGGAAGATTCGGATAGCCACAAGAGGCAGGCCGCGCCTGAGGTAAGTGGCAGGCAAGTCTGCTGGAGGCCATCACAGATAGAGGAGCGTTTCTGCCTGTGGAGCTCCACCCTAAAGAGCTTTTGCAGAATCTCAAAGTGATTTTCTAAAAGCTACTAAAAGTAGTTTTGGGTGGAGAGTTTGTATTGGGACGTTGTTTCTCGCACTTCTTTTTACTTATTAGGATTTTAGAGGAAACTCAAAATAGTTTGAACTCTTGGAGTCCCCACTATTCCTTCCTTCCTTCCTTCCTTCCAATAATTCTTCCTTTTTCTTCCATGTCATTATTTTCCCCTCTCTATAGGATGTTTCCTATCCTACAAACATGTTATTTCTTCCATCTTAAAATCGTCTCTTGACCCCCACTTCCTCCACAGGTGTGTCCCAGTTTTCCACTTCCGCTTTCAGCAAAAGTACTTGAAAGAGTGTGTATACTCGTTCTCTCTAAACCCTCTCCAGTTAGGCTCCCCTGACCGCCAGCATCACCATTTCTTCCAAATTACTTTGTCAAGGTCAACGGTGCTCAGTTCTCAGTGCTCGTATAACTTGCTCTGTCAGCAGGATTTGAGACAGTAGATCACTGCCTCCTGTGTGATAAACTGTCTTCATCTGGCTTCCGGGACACTACACTCTCTGGGTTTTCTCTCGCCTCACTGGCCTTCCGCAGCCTCCTTTTGTGAAAGCTCCTCTTCTCCCTGGCCTTTTGACTTGGCAGTTCCCCAGAACTCAGTTCTTAGTCCTCGTCTTTATCTGAACTCACTCCTGATGAGCCCATTCAGTTTCATGGCCTTAAATTTATTCTCTATAATGGATGATTCCCATTTGTATATCTGTGGCCCTGACATCGCTTCTCATCTGCGTTCCTGTATCCAGCTGTCTGTTCCACATCACCGCTCGGGTATCTAACAGCCCTCTCACACTAACATATCTAAAATGGATCTTCTAGGGCGCCTGGGTGGCTCAGTTGGTTAAGGGTCTGCCTTCGGCTCAGGTCATGATCCCAGGGTCCTGGGATTGAGTCCTGCATCGGGCTCCCTGCTCAGCGGGGAGCCTGCTTCTCCCTCTCTCTCTGCCTGCTTGTGATCTTTCTTGTGATCTTTCTCTCTCTGTCAAATAAGTAAATAAAATCTTAAAAAATAAATAAATAAATAAAATGGATCTTCTGATCTTTACCATCAAACCTAATTGTCCTCATCTCAGGTGACGGTTATTTTTTTTATTTTTTTATTTTTATTTTTATTTTACTTTATTTCTTATTTTTTTAAATTTTTAAAAATTTTATTATGTTATGTTAATCACCATACATTACATCATTAGTTTTTGATGTAGTGTTCCATGATTCATTGTTTGCTTATAACACCCAGTGCTGAGCACCTGGGTGGCTCAGTCGGTTGGGAAGCTGCCTTTGGCTCAGGTCATGATCCTGGGGTCCTGGGATCGAGCCCTGCATCCGGCTCCCTGCTCAGCGGAGAGCCTGCTTCTCTCTCACCCTCTGCCTGCCACTCTGCCTACTTGTGCTCTCTCGCTCTATCAAATGAATAAATAAAATCTTAAAAAAAAAAAAAATAGGGGTGCCTGGGTGGCTCAGTCATTAAGCATCTGCCTTCAGCTCAGGTCATGATCCCAGGGTGCTGGGATCGAGCCCTGCATCGGGCTCCCTGCTCAGCGGGAAGCCTGCTTCTCCCTCTTCCACTCCCCCTGTTTGTGTTCCCTCTCTCGCTGTGTCTCTCTCTGTCAAATAAGTAAATAAACTCTTTAAAAAAAAAAAAATAACACCCAGTGCTCTATTCAATATGTGCCCTCTTTAATACCCGTCACCAGGCTAACCCATCCCCCACCCCCTCCCCTCTAGAACCCTCAGTTTGTTTCTCAGAGTCCATAGTCTCTCATGGTTCATCTCCCCCTATGATTTCCCCCCCTTCATTTTACCCTTTTTACTATCTTCTTTTTTTTTTTTAACATATAATGTGTTATTTATTTCAGAGGTACAGGTCTGTGATTCAACAGTCTTACACAATTCACAGCACTCACCATAGCACATACCCTCCCCAATGTCTGTCACCCAGCCACCCCATCCCTCCCACCCCCCACCACTCCAGCAACCCTCAGTTTGTTTCCTGCGATTAAGAATTCCTCATATCAGTGAGATCATATGATACATGTCTTTGTCTGATTGACTTATTTTGCTCAACATAATACCCTCCAGTTCCGTCCATGTCATTGCAAATGGCAAGATTTCATTCTTTTTGATGGCTGCACAATATTCCATTTTGTATATATACCACATCTTCTTTATCCATTCATCTGTCGATGGACATCTTGGCTCTTTCCATAGTTTGGCTTTTGTGGACATTGCTGCTATAAACATTGGGGTGCATGTACCCCTTCGGATCCCTACCTTTGTATCTTTGGGGTAAATACCCAGTAGTGCAATCGTGGGGTCGTATGGTAGCTTTATTTTCAACTTTTTGAGGAACCTCCATACTGTTTTCCAGAGTGGCTGCACCAGCTTGCATTCCCACCAACAGTGTAGGAGGGTTCCCCTTTCTTCACATCCCCACCAACATCTGTCATTTCCTGACTTGTTAATTTTAGCCATTCTGACTGGTGTGAGGTGGTATCTCATTGCGGTTTTGATTTGTATTTCCCTGATGCCGAGCGATGTTGAGCACTTTTTCATGTGTCTTTTGGACATCTGGATGTCTTCTTTGGAAAAATGTCTGTTCATGTCTTCTGCCCATTTCTTGATTGGATCATTTGTTCTTTGGGTGTTGAGTTTGATAAGTTCTTTATAGATTTTGGATACTAGCCCTTTATCTGATATGTCATTTGCAAATATCTTCTCCCATTCTGTCGGTTTTCTTTTGGTTTTGTTGACTGTTTCTTTTGCTGTGCAAAAGCTTCTTATCTCAATGAAATCCCAGTAGTTCATTTTTGTCCTTGCTTCCCTTGCCTTTGGCGATGTTTCTAGGAAGAAGTTGCTGCGGCTGAGGTCGAAGAGGTTGCTGCCTGTGTTCTCCTTTAGGATTTTGATGGACTCCTGTCTCACATTTAGGTCTTTCAATCATTTTGAGTCTATTTTTGTGTGTGGTGTAAGGAAATGGTCCAGTTTCATTCTTTTGCATGTGGCTGTCCAATTTTCCCAACACCATTTGTTGAACAGACTGTCTTTTTTCCATTGGACATTCTTTCCTGCTTTGTCAAAGGTTAGTTGATCATAGAGTTGAGGGTCCGTTTCTGGGCTCTCTATTCTGTTCCATTGATCTATGTGTCTGTTTTTGTGCCAGTACCATACTGTCTTGATGATTACAGGTTTGTAATAGAGCTTAAAATCTGGAACTGTGATGCCGCCAGCTTTGCTTTTCTTTTTCAACATTCCTCTGGCTATTCGAGGTCTTTTCTGGTTCCACACAAATTTTAGGATTATTTGTTCCATTTCTTTGAAAAAAGTGGATGGTATTTTGATAGGGATTGCATTGAATGTGTAGATTGCTCTAGGTAGCATTGACATCTTCACAATATTTGTTCTTCCAGTCCATGAGCATGGAACGTTTTTCCATTTCTTTGTGTCTTCCTCAATTTCTTTCGCGAGTATTTTATAGTTTCCTGAGTACACATTGCCTCTTTGGTTAGATTTATTCCTAGGTATCTTATGGTTTTGGGTACAGTTGTAAATGGGATCGACTCCTTAATTTCTCTTTTTTCTGTCTTGTTGGTGTATAGGAATGCCACTTATTTCTGTGCATTGATTTTATATCCTGCCACTTGACTGAATTCCTGTTTGAGTTCTAGCAGTTTTGGGGTGAAGTCTTTTGGGTTTTCCACGTGAAGTATCATATCATCTGCAAACAGTTTGACTTCTTCTTTGCTGATTTGGATGCCTTTTATTTCTTTTTGTTGTCTGATTGCTGAGGCTAGGACTTCTAATACTTTGTTGAATAGCAGTGGTGATAGTGGACATCCCTGCTGTGTTCCTGACCTTAGGGGGACAGCTCTCAGTTTTTCCCTATTGAGAATGATATTCGCTGTGGGTTTTTCATAGATGGCTTTTATGATATTGAGGTACGTACCCTCTATCACTGTACTCTGAAGGGTTTTAATCAAGGAAGGATGCTGTACTTTTTCAAATGCTTTTTCTGCATCTATTGAGAGGATCATATGGTTCTTGTTCTTTATTTTATTAATGTATCACATTGATTAATTTGCGGATGTTGGACCAACCTTGCAGCCCAGGGATAAATCCCACTTGGTCGTGGTGAATAATCCTTTTAATGTACTGTTGGATCCTGTTGGCTAGTATTTTGGTGAGAATTTTTGCATCCATGTTGATCAGGGATATTGGTATGTAATTCTCCTTTTTGATGGGGTCTTTGGTTTTGGGATCAAGGGAATGGTGGCCTCATAAAATGAGTTGGGAAGTTTTCTTCCCATTTCTGTTTCTTGGAACAGTTTCAGAAGAAGAGGTATTAATTCTTCTTTAAATGTTTGGTAGAATTCCCCTGGGAAGCCATCTGGCCCTGCGGTCTTGTTTGTTGGGAGATTTTTGATGACTGCTTCAATTTCCTTAGTGGTTATATGTCTGTTCAGGTTTTCTCTTTCTTCCTGGTTCAGTTTTGGTAGTTGATACATCTCTAGGAATGCATCCATTTTTTCCAGATTATCTACTTTGCTGGCATATAGTTGCTCATAATATGTTCTTATAATGATTTGTATTTCTTTGGTTGATCTCTCCTCTTTCATTCATGATTTTATTTTTTGGATCATTTCTCTTTTCTTTTTAGTAAGTCTGGCCAGGGGTTTATCAATCTTATTAATTCTTTCAAAGAACCAGCTCCTAGTTCCGTTGATCTGTTCTACTGTTCTTTTGGTTTCTATTTCATTGATTTCTGCTCTGATCTTTATTATTTCTCTTCTCCTGCTGGATTTAGGCTTTATTTGCTGTTCTTTCTCCAACTCCTTTGGGTGTAGGGTTATGTTGTGTATTTGAGACCTTTCTTTGTTTC